GCTGGGCTATGGAGAGGTTTGGCAGAGAAACGGCGATTCAGCGAGCACGCCTGCTTTTGGCTCCGGGATTTTTGCTTTCTTCTCCTTTGAACTTTCTGATGATCGGAGGGTTTTTAAACGTCCGTGGGTGGTCGTAAAACAAATTTCCTTTGAAATTTGTTGTTGTTGTTGTTGTTGGGGGGGGGGGGGGGGGGGCGGGAATAATTTGGAAGTCTGATAGTGTGTGGGAAATGATTACATCAGTCACAGGGAGGGCTAGGATTGGTCTACACAGTGTGGTTTGATTCACTACCGCAAAGATTGCGTGTAACCCTTTGAGTGGAGCTCTGGCAGAGTTGTTTCCCTCCCCAGAAACCGTCCCCATAGCAGGGGCTACGTGACAGGTACAGTACAGTGATCCACTGACACTACAAACGCCCCGAGTGTGCAGCTGTAGTCTGCAAAGGGTGGGAAGAGGCAGAGAACAAACTCTCTTTCAAGAGGCAATCTGTATTTAAAATGCCATCTTGTTCTTCTGACTGCTGCCTTTTACGTGCTGTTGAGGTAAGATTTTCCATATCCAATTACCCTCCAGGTTTTTGTTAGATTTGTCTTCTCTTGTTAGGATGCAGAATGTTTTAAGCATGGAGTTCATCTCGACCCTGAACCTGCACGTTTGATTGCACAGAGAAAAAATTTTGCAGTAAGTGTGTGTCGTTTGAGCAGAACAATGCAAAGAGGGAAGCATCTGTATAAATCAGGAGGTGGGGAGAAGCTTCCTGACTTGTTCTTTCATCTCCATTAATACTTTGAATGTGCAGTATGTGCACGTTTGGGTTCGAACGCCTTTAAAGCGAAGATCAAACGAGAAGGCAGGAGAGAAATGCGTGCACTGTGCTGGCTAATTGATCTGCGAGCGAACTGCAAGTGGAACTTCCCAAAGCGAAACAATCAAAAGTTAGTGGGGAACCAGAGAGCCATTTTTTAATTTTCCAGGGGTTTTGGCCCGTTTCTCTGTAAATGGTCACAGGCCTCACGCTGCGTTGAAAAGAAAAGTGTATTTATCGTTTGACCGGGTTTAATTTCTTTTCCCTGCTATTGCAGAAGTACTCTCTTGATGTTGTTTCATGTTTGCTTACCTTCGACAGCTTTATAGAGAACGCTGCGTGCTCTCTCACTTTCCCCGTGTATGTGTTCACATTAACACTGCTCAATCTTTGTTTAGCGCAGGGAGGTGTTGGGGCGGGGGGGAGGGGGAGCAGGCGAGGGGCATGACGAGAAAGTATTGTAAAGTGAATCATAACGTGTCATTTGTGCTGGCTACCAAGATGCTTGCAATTGTAACAAGAAGCGGGTGCTTTCCTACCGTAGCTGTGCGTTTTACGCCTTTTCGGAGCTGTTGATCTGTAAGTGTATCCTTTATGTTGCAGGATGTAAAAGTCTTTAGTGAAGATGGAACAAGCAAAGTGGTGGAGATTCTAGCAGACATGACAGCCAGGGACCTCTGCCAGCTGCTGGTTTACAAAAGTCATTGTGTGGATGATAACAGCTGGACTCTAGTGGAGCATCACCCTCACCTAGGATTAGGTAGGGAGCGGTCAAAGGGGTGGCGTGGTTACCTGGGAACATAACATATGTGTAATTCGTATTAACGTGCTTCCAGCTGGAACGTTTTCTGGTCACTGCCTTGATCTGTGAAATTAGCTGAAGTCACATATGTGCTTTTTATGTGTAACAGTGTGATGTGGTAAGCATTTAAACCATCGTAAGTCCTTTTCTTGTTTCCCATCCTCTATTTATATATATATATATATATATATATATGTGTGTGTGTGTGTGTGTATAAAAAATTTTTATCTAATCACGCTAGTGCTCTGCTACCTTGCTGCAGTTTGACAATAAACAGCTTAGGCAAATGAAGCTTGATCCTTAGAGTCCTGGTGCTGTGAAACAGCTCAGCTCATCCCCAGCTGGGAGACCTGGGTGAAGAGCCTCAGCTCGGCATACCTACAGGAATGCTTATGAAAGCTAGACGTGCTGAGGTGGGGGCGGGGGGCAGCTAAACTTGACTTCAAGAGGGGGAAAATGGTGGTACCACCTGCGGTCCATGGGCAATTTCTAGACCAACAGTGGCATCTGCTCTCCAGGCAGCAGCTCCTCCACCTGATTGAAATTAAGGTGTCATGGTTACAGTTTCAAGAAGGCAGCAAGAGGAGGAACTGTGGGGAATTAAATAACGCTGTGAATTGGTTTAATTACAGTACCTGAAAGAATTTCATGTTACTCAGTCTTGCTTTTGCTGTTATTTTGTGGAACTGATTAGTTGTAAGGTTCTGATGTGCTGCAGCTTGCAGTTGCTTATTGCTGAGCTACCCTATGTATAATTCTATGCGACACAGATTAATTGCTTTAAAAAGTGTAGCATTTGGAGTATTACTTGTTATACTTCACGCTGAAATTTTGCTAGAAAATACAGGAAGGTAAATTGTAAGCTGTGATCACCAGCACTGGAACTGTGGATGCTATCTGCAGCTAATAGGGGCTTTTATGTCTAAAAATGTAGTTCAGAACCCCTGTTTTTACCAAAGGAAACAATTTGCTGGAAATGTAATGCCTTAAACTGATAGTATTAAATGCATAAATGCACCACTCTACTGAGTAGCAGTCAAAAAAAAAAAAAATCTAAGAATCTTAGGATATCCCGATTACCTAATGTTTTTAATTGGGTGTCTCTCTTACTGTACGAGTATGTGAAAAAATAGCCATGGAACAGTTCTTTGCATGTACGCGTGACGTACTTTCCCTTCTGAGGACAAGGTGAAAAATTAAGGTATAAATGACAGAACCTTTATTTCCTTAGCTTATCATGCCACACGGAGGAACTGTGGGGAATTAAATAACGCTGTGAATTGGTTTAATTACAGTACCTGAAAGAATTTCATGTTACTCAGTCTTGCTTTTGCTGTTATTTTGTGGAACTGATTAGTTGTAAGGTTCTGATGTGCTGCAGCTTGCAGTTGCTTATTGCTGAGCTACCCTATGTATAATTCTATGCGACACAGATTAATTGCTTTAAAAAGTGTAGCATTTGGAGTATTACTTGTTATACTTCACGCTGAAATTTTGCTAGAAAATACAGGAAGGTAAATTGTAAGCTGTGATCACCAGCACTGGAACTGTGGATGCTATCTGCAGCTAATAGGGGCTTTTATGTCTAAAAATGTAGTTCAGAACCCCTGTTTTTACCAAAGGAAACAATTTGCTGGAAATGTAATGCCTTAAACTGATAGTATTAAATGCATAAATGCACCACTCTACTGAGTAGCAGTCAAAAAAAAAAAAAATCTAAGAATCTTAGGATATCCCGATTACCTAATGTTTTTAATTGGGTGTCTCTCTTACTGTACGAGTATGTGAAAAAATAGCCATGGAACAGTTCTTTGCATGTACGCGTGACGTACTTTCCCTTCTGAGGACAAGGTGAAAAATTAAGGTATAAATGACAGAACCTTTATTTCCTTAGCTTATCATGCCACACATCTGCACTTCTAACAACCTTTAAAAATTTCTAGTCTTATCAGTGCCCGTTAAAGGACCAGGCGCTCTTTTTCTATATTCCCTTTCCCATCCTTGCTGATTACCAAGGTATTGTGTAAACAGAAGCCTTCTCCTTTGTGACCAACATCCTTCTCCTGCCAGATTCATTCAATGATGCCACAATTCAGTGTTTGTGACATCACAATAGCTTCCATGGCGACTAATTGTGCTGTCAAACTCTGGTGTGTGACATCTCTGAATGAATCGGGCAGGAGGCTGATTAGGAAATCAAAAGCTTCTGTTTACACACAAATAACGTGGTAATTAACAATGATGGGAAAAGAGCAAGATACTTATCAGGCTGCATTAATATACGTTAGGACCTGCCTGTCCTGGAACTCCATTTCCCAGGGAAGCACAAAGCCAGGCCCAGATTTTTCCCGAGAAACCTGGTGTGCAGCTTTGAGGACAGACTTCTGCTGTCCTCAAACTTTTTCCTCAGGGACTGCTTCAGGACCCTCCGCAATAGATCCGGGTAGAAAGTAATCCTTCGTTGTAGAGTGTAAAAACAAAGCATTAAAATGTTTAAAATCTCAGAGAAGATGTAACGAGACAGGCCTTATATGTGAAGTACTTGAAAGGATGTGGACAGAAAATGGCATAAAAGGGTTCACTTCATGGGAGAAAATAGCATCCAATTTCTTGTATTTTGGAACCAAAGTAGACCCTGTGACATATTCAATAACTTTAAAGTACCAACTTTTATCCATCCACCCCGTTTTGGTTGCTGTTGGAATTTTTTTGTTATATGGCCACATATTTCTATTTCTCAGTCGCTTAAATGATTCCATGCTTCCCTGTGTATTTCAAATACTGTCAGATCATGGCAGTAATCTATCTGTTAAAAAAAGGGTTAGGTGAAGTTACTGTTAGGTGTCTGATGTTCCATGTTGTTCCCGCTACAAATAAGATGGCTTATAGCACATCTGATAGGGTAGAAGTACGAAACAATGGCAGGTAGGTATTTATCAGTGTGAAAAGAAAAATGTTTTTAGAGCAATAAGAATTACGTGTTTCTGAAAGGCATTATTTTTTACTCAGGATATCCTTGATGGCTTAATGCTGCAGGCGGTAATCTTGAAGCCCACCAAAAGGGCAAACTTCTGAAAAGTTTGCTATCTTTTTTTTTTTCTGATTTCGCTAATATTACTGTTACTTTCCCGAGGAGCTCACTTTGCCGAACCAGTTCGTCTTTTCTCTATTGGGCAGCCTGAGGACAAGAGTAAATTTATAAAGCCAACTGCATATTTACCAATGTGGTGATCTTCTAGGTCTCACTGTTAAAGGGACCTTCCTCTGACTGGTTACTTTGCCTGCGCAGTCGATTGTATTTCAAATAACATGCATGCTTGCAAATAACTTCAAACTGCTAGTGAACTGCACAAATTATTTGTGTTCTCATTGGCGGCAATGCTGTGACAATTTATCATCAGACTGGCTTAGATTTTACGTCTGTAAGTGATTCATGCTGCACTTTACCACTGAGAATCTAAAATACTTTGTGGTCGAGATATAAGCAGCCTGTGAAACTTGAATTCATGGCATTATTTTGTTTGTAACTAGTAATATACCTTACCTCCTCTTAAAATGTGGTATCCTCCCTATATGCTACTCCATTCTTAACTATCATCAGTTTAGGAAGGGGCCTGAGGTATTTACATTGGTCATTAACAGAATGAGGACAGACTTTTCATGGTAGTATGTTTCTGGATATAGAAAGAATCCTTACCTGCCAATCTCATTTTTTTCCAGTTCATGAATTGACCATACATCAGAGCTGAAGTAGAAAAGAAAACTAGTAGAGCTCTGAATTGTGTGTAGGGTTAGAAAAAACAATCACTATATAATTTCATACGTAGATTTTATTGTTTATGTGTGTATTGAATTTGCCTTCAAAAAGAATTAGAAGTGGAACAGTTTCTTGATAGACGTAGCCCTTTCTAAAATATGAAAACAAGGCACACTCTCACGCTTTTGTTCATATGTCATTGATAGTGATTCTCTAACTGGAAATTTTGGGACATGCCTACAAGTTGTTCAGTGTAGAATCCAGCTCACTTTCCCATCTTGTATAAGTTGTGCAGTTCTGTATAAGTTTAGGTAGTAATAAAAAGCAATTTCAGGAGGAAAAACAGACATCTGTTCTGGTCCCTTCCAGGAAGTGTGTAGAGGAGACTGAACTGAGCCTATTAGATAAACATGGAGACGTTTCTGGTCACTTTAGCTGCAGTGACACTTGGAAATAGATTGACCTGTTGAACTTCTGTGACTGACATCTATGTTTCTAGTTTTGTAGCAGAAAGTTCAATGCAGGGCTGAAGCTGAGTTGCTGGTGTGTCAAGTGGCATTTCATTGCATTTGCACTAGCCAAGTGCAACTCAGCAAGGACTGACCAAGCGTGCAACTTCTGTGAAACGGTAGCAAACTGACTAGGACTAATTTGCTTTCTACATGCCCATGCCCATGCCCATAAAATGCTGCACCTTTTCCTCAAGCTGGCTTTCACTGTCAAAATGAAAATGTGAACGTTAAATCAGCAGGAGTGCCACCACAGAATCTCAGAAGGGTCTTGATTGGGTAAAGAAATGCATCCAGGTCAGTTACATAAAGCATCTAATAAATATTTACTGGTTGTATATAGACAAGCTCACAAGTAAAATACAAAACAAATTGACGAATCTTGATCTATGATGCATTTTCTGAGGATGAAATGAACAAGACAGTTTATCCCTGCCTTAGAAAAGTGATCTTCCAATGCATTAGGAGAGCAACGATCACAACCTTGTAAGATAACAGAAGAAAGCCAGTTGAACATGCGATCTTTCAGAGTTCCTACTGTGAGGAAGGTTCCTATCAATACAATTACACGTATTTTGGAGATAAGGGTAATTTAAAAAAACAAACAAAAAGTCCCTCCTCCACCAGAGGCCCATTGTCCTTACAGTATTGTTCCAGTGTACATTAGCTGAAGTACTACCGTTATAAAATGATGTTATGGCTAATGCACTAAGCAGCAGCTCTTTGTAAGTCAGCCACCAAATATTAGCAATCTTCAGCGTTAACCTCTTGAAACACAGTCTCTAGTAAGGCTGGAGATGCAATAAGCATCTGAAGTTGTCAATGAACTGGTAAATTCTGAAGTTGTCAATGGACTGGTCATGACTGATGTTCCAAATGCAAGTGAGAAAGACAACAGGATCATTCCGAGATAGGTTAAATTTTCAGTCAAAGAGCTTAAATTATTAAAACTTAGCATCTTAATATACGTGCCACTCAAAAACTTGCTCGTGTTTGAGATACCTATTACTGCTTGCTTTGTAGCCTGAAAATACCTCAAGAGAATTTGCATCGTAGCTTGGCGTTCCTCGTCCTGAGAATGCAAGGACGTGTGAATATAAAGTGAGGAAGGGGCTATCCAAACTTCTGTGGTCAGCAAATCGCATGTATTTTATGTAGAGCTTTGTGAAAGGTTGTTTTTTGTTTTTTTTTAAATTTGACCTCATTTTTTCTACTTCCTATTACGTAAGAGATGAAAGTACTGCCTATTAGACTTTGGAAAAATATCTAAATATTTTCCTAGAAACTTTGGAAGATTTGCCAAGATAATGATTCATTAAGTAGTGTACACTTGTGCCAATTGCCCTCTTTGGAGTTACTCTTTTCAGTGAATTGGATTTGTTATGCTATCTGTTCATGCTTTGATGTGCCATTCTTTTGACCAAAGTAGTAGTGGTTGCGGGGAGTTACCTTGTAACCAAATCTGGAGCAGAAAATTGCCCTGTCATGTGTACAAAACATTTGTCTCCCTCAGTGTTCCCATAAAGTAGATTCTGTGACCTCTTTCATAATAAACCCCATTGTCTAGCATCTACAATACAGGCCTGAAGTTCACCTTGAAATGAACTATTTTTATAGAGTGTGGTCAAATAGGACACTATATTCCTGTGATAGTTCAAGACCTAACAGTGCTCTTTTCACAACTTTTTTTTTCTGAAAATTTTCTAGCTTACCACTTCCAGAGCATATACCAAACACCAAAATAAATGATTAGCATGTATTATTAAGCTACTGCCAGGCAGTAAGGAACACAAAAAGTCTTACATACTTCCCTTTCTCTAAAGTCTGTACTTATCAAGCCCTGATGTAGGAAATCTTTGAAGAATACTTGCCATGTAATGTTAACTTCTTTATATTTTATGTCCTAGTTCCTTTAGAAACCTTGCTACAGTATAATTTCAAATATATAAAAGGTTTATAATGTTCATAAAAGATAGTTGAGTTATTCGGGGTTGTTTAAATTGTGTTCTTTGGAAGTTAGTCTTGCTTTTTTTTTTGCTAGCCAGTCATATGCTAACATCATGTTCTTTTTTCACAGAGAGGTGCTTGGAAGATCATGAGCTCATAGTCCAAGTCGAGTCCACAATGGGAAGTGAAAGTAAATTTTTGTTCAGGAAGAATTATGCAAAATACGAATTTTTCAAAAATCCCATGGTGAGTCTTATCACGTAGCTGCTTAAACCGGAAAGGGGGAGTGTGTTGCAAGGGTAATGGGATATGGATGTGAGTGGTAAGGAGAGGCAGGAGGGCCGTGGAATCAGCCATTCCTGGGTAAAGGAAGGCACTGTACAGCAGTTAACACAGAATAACGTTACTGGGCACTGTTAGGTACTGAACATCTATTTTAAATACATATAAATATGCACACACACATATATGTTTGTGTGTGTGTGTATATGTATATAAAAATTCTTTCCTCACAAATTTTAACCAGTGTTTCAGTTCCTTGTGCTCTCCTCCCAGCCCAAAAAACTCAACTGTTTTCAGGTTACCAAACACACTTGTTTCAAAAGGGCTATTGCTATGTTGGAGAGTGACCAAGACAGTGAAATATTTGTTGGTTTAAAAAAAAAAAAACAAGCGGATCATTATCTTCAAAGTTACTTGATTTGAAGCAAATTGATCAAATAGTGTGCAGTATCCAGAGCTTTTAATTTCTGCCAGTAATAAAGAAACCTCTGGGTAACTCCTAAGGTACTTATTACATGCAAGTAACTCCTAGTTTATCATTATATGCGTTGAACAGTGATTCACCTATGGCTGTGCTTTACTAGTATGCTCTCTCTTCTTTACTGTTCATACTAACTCATCCCTTCCATTTCCTCATGTCTGTCCATGTTGGAAAAGTAAGTGGTGTTACATGGTATAGCTGTTTTCAGCGCTGGTTTTGTAAGATCCTTAAAATGTTGTAATTTTGAACTGTTTGTCATGTAATTGTTTATTTGGTGATTATTTTTTACATTTGCTCTAAACAATCAAGTGGGAATGGGCTAGTGATGTGGACCCACGTCAGTTGGCATGATCCATCTTGGTAGTTGAAGGAAGGAGAATCCAAAGAAGATTTGGGTTTGTACAAATTTTGGGTCAGTCTGACATTTGTAGAGAAGATAGGTACGGTCAGATGAAAACTCTTTGCTCAAGTTACTGCAGGTCAGATGAGAAATTGCTGCCTTTCCTCATGAACATGCTAGTGCACAACTGCTGCGTACTTGCGTGTGTATTTGCACATGCATTTGTCATCTGCTAATGCTTGTTTAAGAACTGTGCTTTGAATTACTGCAGGAAACATTCCTGTGCGTGGAATGCTAGTAATCTTGCACTTCTGTTGAACTGCTCCTATGATAACCTATGAGCATCTGAGGGTTTTACAGAAATTTTTATATTGTAAGAACTGGCACATTGGTTTAATGTGGTATACTTTAATTAAGAACAGAGTATGGGAGTAAAACCCAGAATGTTTGGCAGTCAGTCTCAGGCTCTTGCAATCAGCAAATAAATCATTCTTTTGGTTTAGGAATGCAAAGGCTTCCTACCCGTTGCATTAGCTATTGCCATATGGCACTGTTTCTACTCAAAGAAGCTGGTAAATGTTAGCTTTAATAATTCATCTTGCAAGTTACCTGGAAGAAAGGTGATTCCTCTTCAGCCCTTCTCTTCATGCCTTAAGGAATGGAATTTATATGGTCTGAAGAATGATGGATGTTCTAAACTAGAATCATTTTTGCTGTGATTCATCCTGTTATAATCCGTCATTGTTTTATCTCAGGCATTGCTGCATGTCTTCAGCTTTCAAATAATGTTTAAAAACTTTAGGAGTGATTTAATGTAATTGCTGTGTATAGTAAGTTCAGTGTACCGAATTACAGAGGTATTTTTAAACACAGCAAATGAAAAGGAGAATTGGAGGAAAATATCTGAAATCAAGTCATTCGTTTAGCAGTGAGAAAGCTACCTGACCTTTGTGGTGTAAAGATTCAGCATGAATGAGATACTGTAGGGCACATAAAGTTTAAAAGCTCTGTAGAAGCACGTTGTTTGTGTGTTGCACAATATTTGCTTCTGACTATGCTGTGATGGCATGATGGTGGAAAGGAGAGAGATGTCTGCTTTGAGGCTGTTCATATCTGGCACGTGAAGCAGGGAATGCTACACAGTGTTCAGGTCCAATTATGGCACATATGTCCTCTCTGAAGTTTTTTTTTTTATTTTATTGCACAGAATGTGTAGCTGTCTGATCATTATAAGAAAAACACTGGGCTGTGTTATCTTGCCCTGAAGTATAAACATATAGGGTTGGATTTTGCAAAGGGACTTTTTCTTGACAGACTGAAGGGTATCAAGTCTTGAGCATAAACTGAGCATTGAACAAACAAGTGAAAACATCAACAGTCACACGTGCGCTCTTTCTCATAATTAACGTCTGGGAATGGCCATTCACGAGAAGCGGTCTGATGGCGCTGAACGGGTTGTGTGTTAAAGCAGATACAGCACTGACCTGTACTTTGGATAGAAGGAGAATACTGTCAAAGGTGAAGGAACTTAAAAAGTGTGCAAATATAATATAACTTCAAATTGTCTTCTCTTTTTGCGTCTAGAATTTCTTTCCAGAGCAAATGGTTGCGTGGTGCCAGCAAACAAATGGCAGTATTCCGCAGTCACAACTTTTGCAGGTACTGTAAGTTATCTGTATGTCCTAAAAAGGTTTTGGAGATGGAGGGAAGGAGTTGAGAGGAAGAAAGGTCTGGCCTTAGGTGGTCAGAGAAAGTCCAGTGTAGGTAGCTAGCAGATGTTAGTAATGTTGAAAATACCTAAAAAGGATCTGACCCAGTGGCACTGAGATGTAAATTATAAACACAAAGTATTTGTAGTTATGTTCATATGTATTTGTAGCTGTGCCATTATTAGTCAGCTTCCCCAGGTAATACTACGTCAGGGCTAGGCAGTTTGGCCACGTCTGCGTAACATCATCTCGTCCGCTTAAAGACACAAATGGACTTTTTTTTCCTTTCTCTCCTTCTCCTGTATTTTGTTGCTAGTAACTGCCAGCCCCCTTCCTGACTTTTCACATTAGGTCAGTCAGAGGTCCTACTTTGTTTTTCAGGCTCCTAGTCTTGACCTATCCGTTTTCTCAAAAGTAACTTGAGTTGCTGTTATTAAGAGCATTCACATCAGCTTCACGCATGAGAAGCCTGTAGTGTTGCTCCTACAGCAGTGTCAGCAGATACATTTGTAGAAAAACAAGTATACCTTGTAAAAAACAAAACAGGGAGTATTCTTCTGTATACTCCACATAATAGCATAGGAGAAAGTGCAAAAATGTATTTGTACATTAGAAGATGAGCTTGGGAGAGAGAGGGGTTTGGCCTTTTGGGTTTTAGTGTGCCATGTTTGTGTCTGGTGCAGTTAACAATAAGGACCAAATTCCTGATGGTTCAGCCAACTAGCTGCCCTTTTATAGAGGAAAAACAATTATCTAGGAAATAAGTACAGGTAGTTATAGACAATTGTATGTGGCATTTGTGAAGTAATCCATTTAAAGCTCCGAAAGTTAAATTACAGGTGTGTGTAGCTTATGCATATGTATTGGTAAAGTTATGCAATCTGTGTGGCATGTGTTATGTGCAGTGGCATGTGCACTGAATATATGCTGAAGTTTTGCTGCTATTGTACAACTTCTTGCTTGCTCGAGAAGGAACTGTAGTTGAGGCACAGTTGGTTGAAATAGCCTTCTTCCTCTGAGGATGATGCCACAGGGTCAGTTCTCTGACCGACAAGACATTCACTTAAAACTCTAAAAGCACTCCAAACTAAACACTGTAGTCTACGTCTTTTTCACCTCAGCCATTTTCTCAAATGGGGGGCATTCAACTCACAGGTGTGTTGAGGCCACATTAAAACGCATTGTTTCTTAAATGGTACTATATTAAAAATATAAGACAGTGATGCTTGGAAAACAATACCATGTTTGGAATGACACATGCAGATTATAAAGTAGAAGGCACAAATACAAAAAGAGAATACAAATACAGATAACGGATTTTTAGCTTGATGTCTGTCATTCTGCATGTTTGCAAATATACATCGACTGCCTATTCAAATAAAACAAATTTCCACTGATTTTTGAACTAGTGCGTTCGTTTTGTCCTGTAATCGCTTCAACATCTATTAAATGCTATCTCCAGGTTCACCTAAAAGGAGTTTAAAATGTCAGCGTTCTCTCTTAATTGGGAAACAAAATGAAAATCAAACCAGTTTCTAGAATTAAAAACAAATGTCACAGGCAGCAGGGTTAAGCATCCTTCAATCAACTTTGTACTTATGCTCATCTAATTACCACTCTCCTTACTGTGGCATGTTAAAGGCCTAAAGCAGGTTGCCACTCAAGTATTTCATGGCCTATTTAATCAGTCTGGATTGTCTTCAGGGAAGTAGGCCAAACAGGGAGAAAGCACTTTGAATGGGCAAGCATTTCCATTTCTGTTACTCGATCTAAAACCTTGTGGAAACGCAGCTGAGGTGAACAGACGTTGCCAGAGACTTTTTTGAATAGAAAGGTGTGAGACCCTTTCTTGTGCAGTGCACTTGGAGAATCAAGTTTGCTTGTGTTTCTAGAAGGAGGATGCCCTAAAAGAGGAAGATGCTCTTGAAGATGGAGAAGTTAGGAACCTAGTGTAACTCAGATGACAGGGAGAGGAAAACCTCACGGTATTGTGACATTGAATAGTTAGTTTCTGGGAAGTTTTAGTTCGGTACAGTCCAGGAAAAACATAAACCATGGAGATTAGCAGTGAGTTTGTTTGAGGAAAGAAGATAATATATTCTCTTTGATTTGTTGTTTAACCATAACAATCAATCTTACTTGAAGCATTTATATTAAATTCACTTTTCTTTCAGAAAGATAAACCTATTTGTCATAATTTCAATGACAGAAGCAATTTGTTAAAGGTGTAAACTTCCTGCAATCGAATAGCCATTAAGCATGTTGCATCTGAGGCCTCCTCAAACATTGAGTTAAATGTGCTGGGTTTTTTAATTATATAAGGAATGGGGAAGAACATTAAACATCATGTCACAGTATCATGTGCTGCATTAAGAGCTAGTATTTTTAGTCTTAACAATAGCGTTAATAATGGTGGGTACTGTTTTCCCTAGTATCAGTCTTACTCAGATGTGCAAAAAAAGCTTGCATCTTAGTTTATTTTGATTTAAGTTTATCTAGCTCGACAGAGAGAATATTTTCCCCTTGTGGTCTATTCCCTTCACAGTTGAGAAGTGGATTCGTAGTACAAATAGCAGGAAAACTGACTATTCTTTTCCAGTCTGTTACATAAGAAATAGCAGGGGAAGAAAATGGAAAACAATAAAGTTTTAATTTAACCAAGAATCCTGACAGAGGGCATTGTTTTTTGGTTTTGTCTCCTGTGAGCACTGTCCACCAAATAATGCCAAAATATGACTCTCAAGATTTTCAGAGGCACATAGGCCAACTAGGTTTATGCATTTTTCTCCCTATTATTGAATTTGTTATGAGGTCGGCATTTAACCTACTTACCAAGCCTTCTGTCCTTTAAAAATCTGGCCCGGTATAATAAGGGAGCAATCCATCAACTCACTAACCATAGTTAATACTTCCTTCCTTCGACATACTGCAAATCAAATGATTCCATATGTGGTCCCTGTAATTATGTCAAGAACTTAACTTCTTTAAATAGTTCTGGATCTTGAAGCCTAATATCATTGTAGACGTTTTTGACCGCTCTGAGTTTCAGTTTGCGTTAAATATTGTGTTGTCTGTCATACCCTTTGTCATGAGACAGAAGTGTGCGTATTGTACGTGAATTTCGTGTAGGAAATCCTGAAGTAGGTAGTTCACATTCTAAAACTTCTGGGTGAAGTTCCAGATTTTGGCCAATGATTCCAAGACTTGTTGGCAGAATTGTTGTGGCAAGATATTATGTTAATTTATTTTTAAGAATTAATAAGCTTACTTTGTGACGATTCAGACCAAGAGGAATGGGGATGCAGAAATATGGTTAGCCTTTTGGAGATTTAAAGTATTCACATAGAGAACACAGGAAAAAGTCAGTGCATGAACTTGAGCTGATTGTTACTACAGCACTAGCAATCTGCCCAGTGTACAATACAGTGATCCTGCCAGAGAAACACTATCAGGCTGCTGTTTTACATCTATACTCAAACTAATCCAACTGCAGCTGCCACTGAAGAGTGGCTGTCCTTTGCCCTGACTGTGCAGTCTAATTACCTCCCCTGCTTTGGATCTCAAAATTGGGTGGAAACTGGATGTATCTGCACGCTTCACTTAAATCTGTCAGGAAATTAACAATTTTACCTGTGTTGGAGAGAGTTTGTGAGTGAATCAGTAGTTCATCCCACTTTGCATCACTAAGATTGCTAGTGGTGATGCAAGGATGATGGCAGGACGTAGGTAGACATAATGGGAGCAGCAAGTCTATCCGTTTTGGTCATAGGTCAATTTATCATTAAACTGTGCCCTAAGTCAGAGAAGTGACTTGCCATTTGCTTCTCCTTGCTGCAAATACAGTGCCAATTTTATGATAAATGTATGAGACTCAATTATCATTTACCTTTTCCTCTCCAACAGAACTTTTTAAACTCCAGTAGCTGCCCTGAAATTCAAGGTTTCTTGCATGTGAAAGAGCTGGGTAGGAAATCATGGAAGAAATTGTATGTGTGTTTGAGGAGATCAGGACTTTATTGTTCTACAAAAGGAACTTCAAAGGTAAGTTTAAAAAAGAAGATGCACACTGCTAGTATGCGAAAGGATTTTCTATTTTTACTATGGATATTCTTTGTTGTTTTTTTTAAATATCTGCATAAGCTCCCACCCCGTTTTTCTAATCGAGTAGAAAAGGATAAGCAAGACACGATCACATGACCGTCAAGTCCTTGGTTCTCGCTGCATGAAAATAGCTACCTAATATTGCTGTATAATAAAACCAAAGTAGCCAGGCATCAAGCTGTCACTAGGAAGTCACGATACAAGGTTAGCAGGAGAAAACAGGCAGTCTCCAAATGCATTGTTCATGAATTTATTTAAAATGATATCTTGAACACTATTTTACATTATCTCATTTTCAGATTTCTCAGGAGCATTGTAATAGGCTATCACGTTTTAATCTGATGTTGTATCTTAATAATATTTTGTCAGCTTCTTGTATAAAGCACCTTCTGATAGCAGGCTGATATCTAAAAGGTGACACGCACTGACAACTTCAGGCTGTTTGAGAGACAAGCAAAGTGTTCATACACTGCCCTCTGTTGGATGTTGTTCTTTAGAGAAAGCAAAGCTAGCAGCAAAATGTTCCAGTATCTTATTCTTACATTTTATAAACCACATTATTTCCACAGGAGCCACGACATTTGCAATTGTTAGCTGACCTAGAAGACAGCAATATCTTCTCATTGATAGCAGGCAAGAAGTTGTACAATGCACCTGCAGACTACGGTTTTTGTATAAAGGTAATTCTTCTCATTAAGTTCTTCCAAAGTTAAGATCAATGCCCATAGCTCAGATTCCCCCTCTCTACCCCCCAGCTAAACTTAATTTGGGCATAGGACTCTGCAAGTATTTCTGTTGACTTCAGGAAGACCTGATCTGTAAAGATTTTCATTTGGGAGGTTTGTCCCATGACTCTTGGTATAGTTTTATGCGACACTTTGTCTGGTGCTTCTTTTGGATCAGGTTGGAGTATAATATTTTAGCATTGGGCTTACCAATGCAGCCTCCCTTACAGATGGTATTTTTCTAGAGTATGCATATACTCGTACAGCTTAGTCCTATGGAGGAAGCAGAGTAAGACATAGCAGCATGACCATCTTTTTCCTGATCAGGTTGCACCTATAACAGGGACAGGGCTGTCCCTTTTATGTACTGTCACCCATTTTTTACTGTGGCAGTAAAAAATGCTTCAAAGCGCCATCCAGCTTTCTGACAAGAAGTCCTGTTGTGCATCTCCATATTGCAAGTCCAGAAAGGGAATCTTGAAAAATAAGGCTGGGAGGCTTTTATTGACGGAGGTGAAGTAGTCTCCTTCCTAGCAGCCATTCCAGAGCTAGATATTTGGGTTTGCCTCAGGGAGTGGAGGCTGGCTGCAGGACAGATTCTGAATGGATCAGAGCAGACATTTGGGAAGAGACAAAGTGGGAAGAGCTCAGGTGCTTTCTCTAAAGTACAGCAGCGGATGGCAATATAGGCAGTTCCTCCTGCCCATTGTGGACAAGGCCTGCCGTTCTCTGCAAGTACAGGCAGCTTCTTCTGTGATCCTTGTCAGCAATGATTCCTCCCCGCTGCCAACAGCTGAGTAGTTTAGAATGGGTAATTCTGAAAGAGATTGGTCTTAAAAGCTAGCATTGTAGAAGACTGCAAGTATAAACGGTGAGAGTAATGCATTGTGGAGTAAGTTAACATCTCAGTATCAACAGTAAAATAGCAGAAAAAATTCCAGAGCAAGCACTGAACTTTAGGAGAATGGTGATGGTAAAACAAATGGGTGTGGAGGGGGAGATGTGGTTTCCGGATCTGCTTCTGTGGAATCTTCAGTGTGGCTTTGGGTGTGTTACTTTGGTTCTTCATCTTTAAAATGGCTAATCATTTTTTTTCTTGCAGTTATAAAAAAAAAAAACTTGACTCTAGGGGGAAAAAAAGCCTGAGTACTTGTTTCTATAACTTGCTACAATTCCAGAATATTTCAAAGCAGGCACTGAAGTTTATCTTATTGGGTTTAGCTAAGAATGTGTTTTTAGGTGTCTCTTTCAAAATAAGTTTGACTTGTACAGTAAACTTTCAGTTGGTGGTTTCCTATCGCATGTAGCTGAATTCCCTGTAATACTTTATAGCCCAACAGAGTGAGAAATGAAACTAAGGAATTGAGGTTGTTGTGTGCTGAAGATGAGCAAAGCAGGACATGCTGGATGACTGCCTTTCGACTCCTCAAGGTACCTAATCTCTCCTATGTGAATAGACCACACCTGTGGTTAAGTAGTATTGGTTATTCTGTTTATGAGAAAATAAGAGATGGTGTTCTTAGCCATCATCTACTTCCAAATCAGTAGCAAAATTCCAGGTAGATCTGTCCCTCCTAGGCATTTATGCACAACACTGAGCTGAACTCCTTGCACGTGTGATTAAATGCAATTTTAGGTTTTGGGCCAAACTTATATGTGAATGAATCAAGAAATTGCACAAGAAAGTATCTGCAAATATCTGTCTATCTATATTTATCTATCATAAAACTAAAGAATAGGTTTTCATCTTGGTAAGTGGTTATATGCAATAGAACAGAGTGCTATCTAGAGCCATTGCCTTTTTTTCAATTTTTTGAAGGTTCTGTAAAATATAAATAACAAAAGTAAGCAAGCCTATCTCTGGGTGAAGGTTATTCTTATTTGAGAGTAAAGAGTGAAGTTTCTTGATAATAGGGAAGGACGCTTATCAGTGTTTTGAAATCAAATCAGCATAGAAAGAACCGAGCAGGAAGTTGAATGTTTTGTGCTCTTTGAAGCAGAGCCTTTCTTGATCTTCATGGGAAAATGTACAGAAGTTTTTTTTATTCTTTCCCTGAAGATGCTGCTCTGAAAACTGCAAAATTCTTCTCCATACCTTACTCAGTCGTCCTTAATATTAAAAGGAATATAAGTATACTATATAATATATATACTACATACTGTATAATATATATATATACCCATTAAAATCCCATTTCTCTTTCATGCAGTTATTCTACTTTCTAATACTCTGTGCCAAAATCTAACATATAGCATGTAATAAAAGTTGGAGGCATGTACAAACTGGTACTGCAGTATCTAACCTTACATACTTGTCCACCAAAATAGAACTGAAAACCGTGAGCTCAATCAACTTCCACTCTCTCTATAGTAAGCAGATAGTTTCAGATGCTTTGAAAGAGCAGGCCAGAAAATCCCTGTACTGCATGTCAGGGAGCAGGAGAAGCAGAGCCAGGCCTCTGGGCAGGGAAGCCGGAAGCTGGGCCCTCACCCCCGCAAGGTTGCAGCCCTGCAGCACCCTGGCCAGGCAAGCAGCGTGGGGCTGGCGACGGGGACTGGGGCCAGCCCAGAGCACGGCCAGCGCTGGGTATGGGTGCAGGGACGAAGTCAGGCAGGCCAGGCCAGGCCATCATGTCAGCAAAGCAAGGGCAAGGTCAGCAAGGTGTAAGACATGCTTACAGCACGGCACCCGCAAGGGCCAAGGACAGCAGCCTGAGCTTAAACGGAGCTCGCAAACCAAGAGGCATGGCTCCTGTCACAGCGTTTTCTCCGAATTTAGCTGTTTTACCAGGCCCCAGGTCTCACAGCTGGACTATATTAGACCTGGCTTGGGCACAGGGAGCCAAACCTTGTCTGAGGCCAGGGGGAAGAGGCTGCTGAGCTTGCTCGGGCATGCAGGGCCCTCACACCCTGGTGAAAATAACGGCTAAACCCAGGGACCATCCCTTGCCCAGCGCACTGGAAATTAACAGGTGTGGCACTCAGCTGAGCGTGTTTGATCTGGAACTGAAGGCTCGCCTGCCCATTGCCAGCCTCTGAGGTTGGCATGCCCGAGCTGTGTCCTTTTGGTGACCGTCACATACCGAGCTGTTTCCAAAGTGGAGGATGTGTCACCTAGGGGCCCCGTGAGCAAATTGCCAGGGTGTGGGTGTAGCGGAGTTTTAGAGGTTATGCCAGGGTGTGTCTTGAGGCCGGTGTTGGTTTGCTGTCCTTGATCTCCCTGAACCAAATGTCCAGAACCACCTTTCTTGCCTACGCTGCAGGCCGTATCAGCAAAGCCTTTATCCCCTGCTCTACTGCAAGCTTCTCACTGGCAAAAATACCCTCCTTCCCAACACAATTTCACCACCACCTGCTGAAATGAAGGTGCATTCCCACAATATGTGTCCAAGGAGCTGAAGGGAGGAGGGTGTATACTGTAATGAATATGAGCTTTTACCACGTCCCAATCTATATGTGGCATTGACTAGAAAATAACCCGGGGATGCCCATTGTTGCATGAACGTTTTTTTGTTCCCTATCCATGTTCCTCCGCAAAGTTTATCTTGTTATTTTATCCTCAAGACATGACAAATTTTCACTACAATTACATGTTCCTCTCCTTAGATAGACTTTCCATCATGCAAAACCCTGTAAACTTAGGCAAAGCAAGTCAGAGTTCTAGGCCTGCAGATACGAAAATGCAGTTATTTAGACTCCTGCCTGTTCTCCAATTACATTGTGTTCATCTTCCAAGCCAGAGCACATCTATTTGAATGTTCTCCAAAAACTGTCTAATTCATTGATCTTAAGGAATGATTATGTATAAAGTACCGTACAGAAATTCCTTTCCTATTTTAAGTCGTTACAAAATAAAGTGTGCTAGCCATAGATACTTCAAGTATGGGCCAGGAAAACAGTCCCAATTACAAGATGCATATTTGATTTCTATGGAGTTGATGCCTCTGTTGGCTGTCATAATCCTCTTTTCAGTTACTAAACTTGGCTCAAATTTAACGTATTGTAACAACTAGGGTAGAAATCCCATTCACCAGTCAATTCCAAATGCTTCCTCTCAACTAATTGTCCTCTACTTTCCCTGTTTACATAGGATTTTGCACTGTGGGAAAACTGCTCAGACGATCAGATATTTGTAGTAAATTGTGTCTTTAAAATGCCACTTTTTTTTAAGGAGCAAAAACTAGAATTTAGTTACACGGGTGAAGGTGCTAATTTTGATGAAGAGCAAGGGGAAAACCTTACCTGTGTGCAGAATTAACTATTCTTATCCAATGTGTAGACATGCATCTTGCTGTGGCTTTGCTGTGCTACCAGTGGCAGGAACAGTAGTATTTGGCAGTAGATTTCTGCATTCTAGCATCTAACATTCACCCTTGGACAGTTAACACAAGGAAAAAAAAAAAGTTTTGTTTTTAAGAAACCCTAAAAGAGGATTAAAGATGTTCAGTCAGGGAATGACAAAATTAAGGCTGTGCCACGAGGCTGTTGTTGTGACCCTCCTTTTATTTACCTACCAATTTAGCTTTCCATAGTCATATAATATTGCCTCATTTACAACATTATATATAACTGTTTTAATGAGAACATTCAATAAGTAATGTTGATATGCTTTGGCACTGTGTCTCTAGGGAAGGCACCGAGCAGGTGTTTTCCTACCATCCTAGTGTTTTTAAAATTTGTCGTGTTCAATGAGGAACTTGACTGGAATTCAATTAATTTATTTTTATAAGGATGAGAAATGAACAGAAGTGTTATTTCCTGATGAAATTTATTAAAAGTGCTGCTTACATTAACATTTAAATTCAAAAGTGAATTAGAATTGTTCATATTTTATCATTACGAAAACTGAGTTCAGCTTTATATTACCTTGTACAAAACTTCTTATGCAGATTTTTTTTTATATTCAAATTATTGGGGGATAAAGAGAAGGGAAATTAATGTGTGTTTTGTCCTCACGTGAAAGGGCACGTGAAGGAAAACATGTCCATAGTTGAGAGTAGCAGAAATTGCCTGTGTATTTCACTAAGGCTTGGAAAGGTGTTATCTTTTAAATAAACTTATTGTGCACATTTACTGCTCAGTTGGCACCTGCCAGTCACTATTGCTGAATGCAAATTGCTTTGGGACAGCTTCTGATCACGAAAATAATAAGCTGACAGCACCTTGCTCCAGTGTCAGTGGTGTTATGAAATCACTACACATTTTTTCCTGGGGTATATCTTTGAATAATAATTTCCTTGCGTTTCTGTTGGCAGTATGGAATGCTCCTGTATCAGAATTACAGAATTCCCCAGCAGAGAAAAGCCATGCTTCCACACTTTTCCACTCCAGTAGTAAGTAATGAACTTTACTTCATTAATGTATATTGTTGGAAGAGAGATATTTGCTTTTGCATTTTAAAAGTGGTAAATTTTACACTAATAAATACAAATTCAGAATTGTATAGCAAATCAATGTAAAGTTTGCATTATGAATGAGTACAATTTATGTAGTTGGCTCTCCATTATCCAGTAGGCTGATATTACCCACGTGATGTAAAAATCTTGGCTATCTCAGGTGTTCTGAGATGTACAGTACAGAGACATCTGGCTGTCCCTGCAGAAGCCAGTTTAGGCCTGGCAAAACTAACACTTAAGATCCCCTAAAATATGTTGGGTCAAAGCTGACTGTTAGCTATCTAAAAGCGAAGATCCTATATTTGGGTCCAAACTGGCCCTGAAAATGCCTGGAGCATAGTAATAGGGAAAGTGGGCAACGTGAGCAGTACGCATTTTATTCTGACTTTGGATTCTCTCTCTCTGCCTGCCCCATGGTCTAAAAAGAAAAGCCATACATTTTTGTGTGTGTGAATGTTTTGTAAGGCAAAAGAAATTATCTGTGTTCTCTATGATGTTAAGGGATAGCTTTGGAAAATCTTCTGAAACCAAAATATTTTGAAATGAAACTCTCTCAAGTTGGTTTTTTCTTTCCCTGTTTTTTGAAACAAGTGAAAATTCCTTTTCAGAGAAGTGTATCTGAAAACTCACTAGTAGCAATGGATTTTTCGGGGCAAATAGGAAGAGTTATTGAAAATCCCGCTGAAGCACAGAGTGCTGCCTTGGAAGAAGGACATGCTTGGAGGGTAGCTATCTTCTCTTCTTTTCTCTTTTTAAAATTAGTAAGTGTCTGTTGAGAGCCAAAACACAAGAGTGTGCTATGATAGTAGTGCAGTGCTGGTCACAGTATAGCTTAGCTCCGACCTGAAACAATCACACTGCAAGCATGCAGATCTGAAAGTCGATATCCATCTTTAGCAAAACTGTCACATTCACAACAACCTTCTACCACTGCTTCTCTGTCCCCCTAGTGTCCAGAGGAAAGTTGAGGGGGAAAGCAGACCCACCAGAACTTTACTGCCAGTTTGCAAAACCAGTCTCTGAGGAGGAATATGTCAAATTAAATGCTTCCCCACATGGAAGAGGCTGGGGCTCTGACTAATGGCTTGCTCCCAGTAAGTTTAATTGCAGAATCTACAAGAGGCAGGACCTCTTGCAATGAAAACTGATGTAACTTGTTTATAGTGTCTTGTGGACAGACAGCTGCAGTACAAGTTTTCCCACATGCTCGTCTCTCAGGGTACAGGAGTTATTACTGAAGCACTAGCTAGTGCTTTATGTACGGGAGGGAAATACTGCTTGATTTACTGAGTGCCTGGTGTTTTGCCTGAGCAGAAACATATCAGACTTTTCTTTTTTTCTGTTCTTTTTTTCTTTATTTTTCTTTTTTTAAGATACTGAGCTTTCAACATTAACATCTGGCTTCTGTTTTAAGCCAACTGAAAATGAGCTGCTGCTTGTAGATTAGCCCCCTTCAAAGTTGCATTTCTTTTTCTCATCCTTGCATTAAACTTGCCGAGCCCCCAGTTTCCTGTAAATTAAATCTGTATTGCATGTGTACTAATTCTCTTCTGTTGAGGTTTTAGTCTGGATTTAACGCTAATTCATTTTCTCTATAGAAACGTAGCACAAGAATGAACATCTTGGGTAGCCAAAGTCCACTCCATCCTTCCACACTGAGTACAGGTAAATTCTGCTGTTTTGTGAGGCTAGCATATGAGGCCTCTAGGGGCAAATGAAAGCTGTATTTAATACAGAGATAGAGTGCAGCCGCGTAATATTAGTGCCTTGATTTGAAATAGTGTGTTTTATCTTTGTCAATAACTTGTATGTTGTTAATGTGCTTACGTGTCTGAAAGCATAAATATATAGAGAGACATAACAGAAGGAACTTTTTTTCCCTTAAAGGGACGCTCAGGTTTTTTTTCAGTTTTAATCTTTTGAAACATAGATTTTATGAAAATTGAGACTCCATAAACGTTTCCATTAAAAACAAAATCCAGAAGTCAATTCTTCATTTTAGACAAGAAAGTCAATGAGTGATCTGTTAATCTTTAATGAGTAAAAATAGGACTCTCTAAAATGGCATTGATTCTGTAGTAATTGAATAATGTAAAATACGGTTGCCCATAATGCGAGTCCTGACTTTTTAAGTTTAGTAAAGTAATAGGATATTGCATGTTAATACCCTGGACTTCTTAGCGGAAACACAACTGTTTTGTGATTCTGTTCATTTGAATAGCATTTAAAATACCATTTGAAGAACAACAAAACATAAAACATGTTTGGGGGTATTTCCACCCTTGAAAGCACAAGTTGAAGCGCTTTTCATTCTTCTACAGCTAAAGGGTCTTGGGTCTAACTTTCCTTATTAGCTCAGACACAGTATTCTAAGAATTGTTTTTGTTACACTGTTTTCAAGGAACTATGAAAAGACAAATGTTATAAGAGATAGCTCTTGATAATCTAATAATACATCTGCCAGTCACAAAATACCTGGAGAATATGCCTATGTACTTGTATATCAAGTATATGCGACTGTTGATGCATTTTGTCCTATTGATTAATCTTTTATTTTGATTTATATTGATTAATATTGATTTATATTGATCTTTTATATTGATAAAGATATATTCTGTAAAAAATCTATACCCACTTTTAAAATGTTTAAATAATTAGTGTGTCTGGAAAAAAAAAGCTGTTCTACACATTACTGTTATTAAGCATTCTCTCTTTCCCTCTTTTCCCTCTTGCCTCCAGTTATTCATAGGACACAGCATTGGTTTCATGGCAGGATCTCTAGAGAAGAATCTCACAGGATTATTAAGCAGCAAGGGCTTGTGGATGGGTAGGTACTCCTGTTGTTTAGTATTTATGATCTCATGGAAAACAATTACAGGCAAGATCATGACTTCTGCTGTAAGGGTTTACAGGGCTATGAGCATTTATGAGTAACCTGATTCTTGAGTAGTTCCAGTTTAACGTTCCTGGATTTCAAAAAGGCCGACTGAGTAAGTGTTTGTAGGAGTGGATTCTCTTAATCCAGAGAATAATATATTTAGAGTATACATAAACTCTCTCTTCTTTTTTCAATAGAGGCGATCAAGTCTTTGGGAGAATGTCAGAAGCTGAAAATAATTAATTCCTGTAATCTGTATTGAGGGAATATTTTTTCAGGCAAAGCCATGCCAAGCCGTTTGCACACAAATGTATAATAAGCCATTTGTGCTCTTTTGCATGTATCAGAGCAGATAATGATTTCTCATTACTTATTTCTCTTCTAGAGCTAAGAGATGCAAGTACCTGTTCCAGTTCTCTGAAATGTCTGTAGCTCAGACTTAAGGATTTTCTCAGCATCCCTATTTCACTTACTTATATATGTAGTTGGGTTATCGTAGGGAAGTCGCTCACCTGCATTCAGCAATTTTTTATTTGTAGGACGAGAAGAGCGTGGATGTCTTTAGTTTATTAATCTCACTGCAGCCAGGATTAAGGTAGAAACTTCCATGCTGGCTTTGCAGAAGACAGTGAAGTGCAAACCTCTCTTCATCATTTTCTGATTCAGGAGCATCACTAATCTTTTTGACTTTTGACTTGTGCAGAATGAAATATATTAGAATAAATTAGAGAAATGGCTAGTGCCTGTACACATTGATCAAGCAGTGGGTTTTTATTGTCAGTTTTTTCAGGCAGTGTTGCTGGGCTATAGTTACTGGGACTCAAATGAGAAAAGATTTTGGCTTAGCAGGCAAAGTGAAATCTGCAACAGAGAGAAGAGCTTCAGTAAGCAAAAGAGCACTACTGAAGGGGCATGCTACCGATTTGCTGGGTTTCTGCTTCTCTCACGCTACAGAACTTCTTTGCACTCCTTGACTCGTTTCAACTTGTTGCCTTAGAAATCTAGCGGCCCATCCTTCTTTGGGTTTTCATAAAGGAGTTAATGCTTTTGAGACAGTGTTTATTTGTGCTGTAGGTAGCTTACTCACTGTGGAAGGCTCAGACTGGTTAGTCTTTGGCTGCATTGAGGTCAGTTAGTAGCAGCGAAGGAGCGATGTGCTCCAGGATCTAAGGATGGTGGTTTTCAGGATTGAAAAGTCTTGCCTGTGTTTTCCTGCTGTTTATGCTCTTGAACAAAAGAGGGTAGAAAGTGAACACTGAGGAAGAAGTGGAAGTCTTCTGATGGCTCATATAAGAGATTCAGCAATATGTGTATATGTGTACATATACATATACATGCAGCTGATATTGCTAGCATTTGATTTGTTTCTGGACGCTAATGTTGAGGGTACATCCATATTACAGTCATTGTTCGTGCAAACAACCTGTTGCTTGCCAAAGAGGTTGAAGAAACACTTGCAGGATCAGTTGTCCTGAGTTTTGTGCCATGAGCTTGTTACCATTACATTATTCAAAATAGCTAGATCAAAGGCACTTTACAAGTATCTGCATGAGCTGCAGTGACCATAGGGCAGATGGATCAGCCTTCCTGAGAGGGATCCTCATGTGTAAGGTCTTAGGTCCCTTTTCCGCACATCTGATCTTGTTAGGAAGAAAAAGGAGTGCTCAAATACCATGCATGTTTTCCAGTAGTGACAAGACATGCCTGACTTTTAGTACGGGCGGGATCCGGGTTATCATAGTGCATTTTTGTGGTATTGACATTTCTCAATTGGTTTTAAGAAGCTAGAGTAAGTTCTTTCAGATCCATAAAACTACAAGCAGTTCTTGCAACTCAGCTTTGGAGATGTGTGCTCCTGGCGTAGTGGTTAGCAATTAAGATGGCTTGAGGCCTGCCCCAGTAGTATGTTTGGCCATCTCGCAAATCCACTAACAGTTAGCACTTTGAGCCTATGCCAAAGGTATATTCTCGTTTCCTGTTGCATGGAAAGGTTTTCCTTCCTGAGTTCATACATCTTAAGGGAAGGAGCTATTTTTGACTGCCTAAAATGTCTACATTTTTTCCTTTTTTAAAGTGTGGATTTAATCATTTGAGTTACGACTTCAGTTTTGTGGTTCAGCGTAAAAGTGGTATCTTCCACTAAGTGCAATAAATTAGTGTACATTGTTGCTAGCTATACTTCCTACAGTATATATACTATCTACTACTTTGATGCTGCTGTGGAAAAAATACTGTGATGGTTTTAAGGCAAAATCAGTGTGTGTTTTCTCCATATTGACAATGTGGATTCTACCTAATTGATAGTCATTTTAAGAAAGTATTGAGCAATTGCAACCATTTAGCCTAAAGTTAATTTTGCTAGCGCTGTATTTCTGAAAACTAATGCAAGATACTGGAGAATGGGAACAGATTCTCAGTATTAGTTTCCCATCTTCAAATTCTCTTAGAGAAATCCAAACGTGCTTTTGGAGTTAAGAACATTTTCTTCATGAGAGTATATATCAGTAATAGAAAGCTGAATTAGAGAGACTAAAAAAAAAAAGCATCATACAGATAGAGAGGAAGAAATACTATCATGTGTATTTCATTTTATTTCTTAACGTTGACTAGTGTTGCATAGATGCAGTATAAAAATTGAAAGTAAATTGTCATATATGGAATTGCCTGTTAATGCAAGTAAAGAAGAGTAAAGGCAGTGATACAAAATGACCAAGTAGTTCTGATTATTTATAAAGAAATGATTTGTGGTATTCAAATTATGAATTTTAAAAAAATGTTCTCTCCTAGATTATTTCTTCTCCGGGATAGCCAAAGCAATCCAAAGGCATTTGTACTTACACTGTGCCATCATCAAAAAATAAAGCATTTTCAAATCTTGCCGGTAAGTAAATTAGCTTTGATACTAATCACAAAAAAGCAATTTTAAATCATAAAGCTTTGACAATATCTGAAGAGACCTCTTAATAAGTAGTGATGTAATTAATAGGGATATTCCCATTAACAAGTATGATCCTCAGAATTTTTCAAATGTCTGAATAAAGTTCCTTGTTATCATTGCCTGAACTAGTAACATAAATCACTTAAGTTATTGAAGTAATGCACAGAACTTGATCTCTGTGCTGACAACAGTTGGCTGCAGTTGTCTCCATATCACTTAGGCAGACACAGAATAACTTAGAGAAACTTTAATATGTTTTATTTTGGGGATTAGCCAATAATGTTGAGGTTAAAATAATATCTTACATTGAGATTTTTAGAACCTGTTTGATTTTATTTTGATCAAAAAGAGCATCAGAACCTGAAGATTATGTATTATTGGTCCAAACACTTTTCTCTGGTTTTGCCTGTCAATTTTATGAACAGCTAACAAATATTTTTGTGGTGGTTCTGCTTTATATAATGGAGACAAGTGCTGTCTCTACAGTTTTCAATTACTCTGTGCCCGTGAGCTTTCACTTTTATAGAAAAGATATTTCTAGTGGAGTTAAGGTATGTTCTTTTCCAGTGAGATTCATGGAGACCATGGTTTCCTGGAGATATCTGGGCACTGAATTGTTTGGGCAGTGCCCATCGTTTGGACATTAAAAAACTAAGATTTTATAATGGAGATAATGGAGAGATCAGTTTTAGAGATGCAATCTTTCTTATGCTTAACCTTGGGATCTCTTTGGAAACTTTGCTGTAGCACAGCAGTGCGTGTATCCTACGAGAACTACAGCGTTGGCTGAAGCCAGGAAGCTCAAAGAATATTAAAAATCTCTCCAATCCTATACCAGTCCATTGTATGAATAAACAGGCAAAAGCCTACCCAAATGCTTGGTGTAAGCTGATTAGTGCTCTTGGTACTGGGGCCATTTTTGCAAATAAGTAAGAATTTTGAAGTTAACATCTCAAGAAAGGCCTTGGCCTACAAGCCTATAACGCTAAGCGAGTTTTAGAACAATGTTTCTTCATTGAGAAGCTGTCAAATTTTGATTTAACCAAACCTTTTTTGTGTCAAGGGGTTAAAATGTATTTTTGTTGCAGTTATTATCATTTTACACCACTCGCTTTGAATCATAATGTTTTGCCATGCTTGCCTCTCTTCCTGTGCTGTCTAACTTGAAAAGGACATTTTATTTCCCCAGTGTGAGGATGATGGACAGATCTTTTTCAGCCTGGATGATGGGAACACCAAATTCAGTGATCTTATCCAACTTGTTGAATTCTATCAACTAAACAAAGGAGTCTTGCCCTGCAAACTCAAACACCACTGCATCCGAGTGGCCTTATGACCTCAAATCTGACTCTCACTGAAGACTGGATTTGCTAGAAGAGTAATTGTAAGAGAAAGTTGACACTGGGGAATTGGCAGATCTGTAAGTTGGTAAAAAATAAATAAAAATATTATGCACCTTGGGACTCTGAAAGGGATGGATTCGACTGGTGCCAACAGACCAAGATTTACTGGTTTGTCCAACACCTAAGAGTGATTGCTGCTGAGTGTCCCAGCAACCCAAAAATGGGGGGAGGGTATGTAAAACCATTAGCAAATTTGAAACAAAACTGGAAACTGTCTTGGCTGGGCCACTTAACAGGAACAAGTGTGAAGAGAAATCTTTGAAAAGAACTCTTGCCCTGGAATAATCTTGACAATTAAGACTAGTGTGTTTACTTTTTGTATTGATCACTTTTTTTGCACTCCTACTTTGTTTCGGATATTGTATGCAGCCTATATTAGGAGCTGATGTGGCTTTTAAAATTCATGCAGGAGTTGGGTATTAATCTGCACCCTAAAATGTATGGAAAGCTTCAGCCTAAAAGGATCTAGAAGAAAATCGAGAAGTGTGTGTGTGTGTGTGTGTGCGCGCGCGCGCGTGTGTCTCAAAACTTCTCTGGAGACCTGAGGTTCGATCATCTGCAGATGTCTTTGAAGAAGCAATGTGGATACAATTCTAAAAGAACATAGCACCATATATGTACTCTTAAAACTGTTGATTTGTAGCATTATGGCTGTAGTATGTTGATGGCATATTAGTGGCATCCAGTCATGCAAAGACTGTATTAGATTCTATGCACAAATATTTTTATTGAAGTGGTGGTTTGTTTTTTACAGCCTTTTGTTGACTGTTTTCCTGAGGAAACTTGCTGTTACTAAATAGAGTAGGACTGAATGACTACACTTGTATCTAAAACCACCATTTTTTTTTTTTTTGTGAGAAGATTCTTCTGCTGGTAGTCTTAGTATGACAACAAAAAAAACCCCACAGTGTTTTTAGCTTTATAGAGCTCCTTGGATTTCAGACTGTTTCAAAGAGCTTTTTCCATATAGTAAAGCTACAGTGACAAAAAAGCTCTTCTGGGGAATAGGACTTCAAAAGAACTATACCCTCTCTGCTTTCTATAAGGCCATGAAAGTTTACATGGTGAGAAAGAACATACTGGGAATGGAAACTCATTTAATTGTGACTGGCATTTGTGAACTAGGTGCTGGCAATATCATCCATCCAGGTGACTGGTGATTCTTGTGTCACACACACTAATGCATGCCGGTATCTATTGCAGATGAGCATATATCCCGCTCTAGTGCTGATTTGTCATCAGAACTACTTTATTGTTAATGTTTAAATTAATTAATGTTTACACAATAACTTTTCTGATGATAAATCAGTATTACAGTTAGGGAAGTCCCATTTTAATCCTCCATTTGCAAATACCATTCTTTCAGCAACACACTTGCTATAGGAACTGTTACTGAATTAACTTTCCAATACTTCATGCAATTTATCCATACTGAGAAGCATTTCACCCTGGGAACCTTCAGAAAATAGTGAAGAATGGAGCATTCTTAAGATGGTAAATGATTTACACAGACTAGTTCATCTTTTACTAATATTTGCCACTGGGTTTGAAATCCTAGCCATCTGAAAGGGTAAAGAAGGTAAAACAATTTTACACCTTTAGGTCTTCATGTAGTGTTGAGAATAGCTTAAGACAAACCATAACCTGCCTGAGTCGTCCATATCAGCTTATAACTATGTCAATGGTATAGAAACACTGTATTTTAGTTTACAGAACACATTTAGTATTTTTTTTCATTTAATGTCTAGATATAAAAATGAAGAAACTTGATTTTGTTTTTAGTAGAAGCCTTTTTTGTTTTTTTTTTAATTGTACATAGTGAAATGAGTGTTCCTGCTTTCTAGACAATGTATTTTAAAACCTTGAAATTAAGCTAACTTAAGTCTGACTTCACTTTGCATGCTTCTATTTGGCCCCTATTAGGAGAAAAAAGATTCTTGTATTGACTACATTACCAGTTTAATAAGACCATTTATGCTGTAGTTTTAAGTTTTTCTGTTTACATAGCTTAGTGACAACCATGCATTTTTCCCAGTAGGCGCATAGTATTTGCAGTGTTTCATATTTATAAAAAAAAAAAAAACTTGCATCTTATTTAAATTGAGAATAAAAGTTTGACTATGAATCATGATTTTTGTATGTAGATGGTTGACTTAGTATTTTGTACTTTTCCCAGCTAAAGTGAGCTGTTTTGAGAAAGTGACCACCTTCAAAGTGGCAACAATCTTACTTAAGCAGATCACTGCTTTTGTCTTCTTTCTGCTGGAAAACAGTCAATACCACCTTAGTTTTCCAACAGATTCAGCTGGCTGCCAGCTCAGAATACCAAGGACTGAAGGACATTTGACTCTTATTTTTGTATTTAAATGACATGAATGTAAAGGGGATGCTCAGGGTTGTTTTGGAGCCTGTTGAATTTTTATCTTTTTGCCTGTGATTTTATTTTCTAAATAAATACTTCATGTAGCAATCTTGAATATGTTGAGAAGGAAAATGCCAAACCATTTTGGTAATGAGGTTACTAGTTAAGTTATGTTACGATAGGTGTTAAAGTACAAAAACTTTTTATTTGTTAATTAATCTTGAAGAAACACGTGCCTCAGTTTAGATGTTTTGTCTTATCTTTTCTGCACTAAATACCTGACAGTTTGACCAATCAATGCACCTTTCCAGTGGCAAGACTTGCTTATCGTAAATTATATTGTCACAATGCAAGATTTAGTGACTGTAAAATGGAATAAAGTTTAAAGTTTCAGGGAATGCAAAAGGTATTAACTTAAGAGACAAAACCTTTATTCAATATGCTTTGCTTCATACTGTAAATAGCTTTTGGGCTTGTGAACCTAATTGTAATCTTTCAGGTATTTTTGTACAAATAAGGGACTGATATTCTGTTTCTTGTAATTAGAAATAAACGTTAATACAATGCTATTCATTTTATATTGGAATGTATGTCTTCTTTTGGGTATATCTCCACAAAGCATCTCTTACTGTAATTCTGAGTTAGTAGGGGTGAGGTGCCATATTAAAGATCCTTTAAGAAGAGTTAAAAGGAAAACAGAATCCACAAGGTATCTTTATTGTGGCTGTTCTGTATTATGATTCCTATTAGGACAGTTTGTCCTTTGTTTACATCAGAACTTGTTCTCACCTGGTGTTGGAGGAAAATGTTTTTTGATACTGTGCTATGATATTTACAGTGTTCATTTGGGCAATGTTGCTAGAATCAAATCTGCAATTATACCACTAGCATCTTTTGGGTCATAAAACTATAACTCACTGGAAGTGTAAGCTCTACGTAGAGCGCTCCATTGGCCTGAGAGTTGTTGGATCACAAAACTTTTTAGTAGTACTTTTAGAAAGCACTTATTTAATCCTGTAATGCTTGTATTCATGTGATCTTTCTGCAGTTGGGTGGAAAGCACATCTGCACAAAACGTGTTTTTGCTTAAGAAAGCAGTTTCTCTGGGGAAGGAGGTTGGTGGTTCTTCTGTTAGAAAGAATAATAGAAGGTTGGAATGTTTCACCTCTTTTGTTGGACACGATCCTTTCCTGTCCCTGCTCTGCTAATCCATAGAAGCCAGCAAACGCATCCCACTTACAGCAGTAGTCACACTCTGGCTTCTGCCTGCTATGGTTTCATGTGAGTTTGTATTGCACTAGGCATAACTTCTGTGTTCTGCATTACGAAATTCATTCAGCAATACATAAAGGCAAAGTAGGCATATTGGTTTTTTATATTGCCAAGATTTTTTCTGTCTTGATATGCATGTTACTTTAGAGACCTATAGCTGGTAAGCCCAAAGTTAAAAGGCCTGGAGTTTACTATGCTGGATGCAGCTAAATCAATTTATGCTTTCATTGAGTTGCGTAAAGGGAAGTGCTTGCTTACAGAAAGTTTTTCAGGTGCCTATGTTTTGCTTAGCTAAAGGAAGCTATGCTAACATTGAAACTGGCCCCCTCTGTAATCATAAGAAGTCAAGGACTCTTATTCTAAAAAAGCTAAGAAAAGAACCAACAACCTTTCTGCATTGTATATATCATTTTTAGAAGAGACAAGGAGATGGCACACACAAAAAACAGCATGTTAGATAGGTGTTGATAAGCTGGCCCAATGGCAGGGCAGTATTCTTTGCCTGTTTGTGCAAATGTGCTCATTAGCAGTGGATGGATACCTGTGCTCTCAGAACATCCAGCAGGACCAAATTAGTCAGGGTCAGAAATAGCTATATGGTACAGATTTGAATTAATTACTGTGCCTGACGGTTTGTGCTGGTTTTACAATAGTTGCAGAACAGACGATATCTGACACGATCAGACAATGTCTGATCCCACATGAAGCCCTGTAGCATGAAGTTAACATGGCAAAATATTTTAAATGCGTTTGAACCTATGAGTAAAGTTATATCAGATTAGTGTTTTACAGCATGTAGTTGCAGCACTTTTATCCTGACATATAGAACCTTAAAGCTGGGTTTGTTGTAACATCAAATCGGTGCTCCAGCCTGGTAACCGCAAAACCAGATGAGAAAAACACCATCAGATGAACCATTTCCCTTCAAGTAAGTCAAACTATAGATGACTTTGGGTTTATGTTGCTGCTGATTTAGTGATGCTTCAGTCTGGTTTGTTGACGTCCAGCTTGTCTATTGCTTTGCGTCTCAGGTATTGTTTGTCTAACAGATTGGAAACTTCTGCAACAGTATCAGCAGCTGGAGAAGAGAGATACCTTTCTTTGAAAAATCCACATTGCATAAATTTGGGTTGCTTCTGCATCCTAAATATTATGTCTTCCTTCCTTAACTTTGAGCACAATTTAATTAAGATTTGAAAACTTAATATAGCCACAACTATGTCCAAGAGCTATATGACTTTCATTAGATGCTGCGATTACTCACATCTGAATCTTCAAAATAAATTAGTTTGTACAACACTTGCATTGCAAACTCTTAGCCCAAAGAAACTCTGCCCTAATTGTTCATCATTTTGCACAGATGCTAGCAGATGTTTTTACAGGAAGGACTGGTTCATCTCTAGACAGTGAACTGTGACTAACAGGGTCTTACAACACTTGCTGGTTACCAGGTTGTGTGCTTTGCTTTAATCAGGTGTTTTCCGTCTCTTGGCTGCAGGATTCTGGTGAACAGGAAGGTGAAAGTATAAACACAGCTGCCAGCTCTGAGTCAAAGTACAACCTGATTTTATGGACTCTGAGGCTCAGCTCAGCTGCAGGCAGAAGCGTAACTCTGAGAAAAGAGAGCTCAAGAAAGCTAGGAAGGGAAGGAAGGGAAATGATGTGGGGGAAAAAAAATTACTCTTAGGCAGGATTGTCTAGGTTATGGTTTGGGCATAACTAGGGACACAGTGAAAATAAGCATTGTCTGCCCGAGTGCTGCTCAATGGTTCCTTACAGAGACATTTTCCCCTCCCTTTCCCTCAGACTTGTGAAGATACTTCTAAATAAAGAATGCCACTTTATTTGCCTTTTGAAACACATTCTCCAGAGATGGATGATTGGTCATCAAACAGAAAAATAGCTATGGAATTGGCATTCTCTGCAACATGCTTGATCTCAGAACAGATTGTCTGTCCAACTTCCCCCCCAAGAGTAAGGAAGGTAAAAGTATGGTTCTACCAACAATAATTTTATGGTGAGAATTATTAAAGTAACTGGGTAAATGAAATACTAATCTATTACTTCATTGCCTCTCAAAGAATGCTAGATGCATCCTGTTCTGAAATTGTAATATTTTACTTTTCATTTAGCTAGACCTTTTTCAGCATTTGATTTCTTCATTGACCTTTTGTCCTCTGAATATCTGCAAGACTTTCATGTGTTCTCTGTGACTCTTACATACTTAGTTTTTAGGTGTTTTGTACTCTCAGAGTCAGGTCCAAAGACAAAGAGAAACACAGAAATGAGGCAAGCAGGGATTAAAGCTTCTCAAAAAATTACCCCACAATGCAGTTAGTCACGGGAAAAAAACAAGTTAATTATTAAAAGATGGGTGGGTGGAAGAAGTCATCTAATCTTTCACTGAAGAGTATGTGGTTTGTTAAAATGACTGCCCAAACAAGGAAGAAAATCAGTTAAGGCTTAAAGTTTGTCTCAAAATATTTATGATGAATTGCCTGAACAAGCCTTTGACTTGCCCTAGAAAATAAGGGAGCAGGAGGTCCTGGGCCCGGAGTGGAAGGAGAGGCTTAGGCTGTGTTAGAAATGGAAGAGGTACAGGAAAAGCAAACAGGATGGGCAGAGGAACCATCAGACTAAGATGGTTCAG